AGGAGGAAAGCAGAGAGAGAGAGAGAGAGAGAGAGAGAGAGAGAGAGAGAGAGAGAGAGAGAGATCAAACAGTGACGTTTTCATGTAACTGATTACTTTTTTAGTGAGTTAGAATGCCTTCAACGCTAGCATTAAGCAAAAAGAAAACAAGACAGTAAATAGCTGCAAGGACTACAACTACGAAAACCTTCATGACAACAGCAACAACTCAATGACAATGAAGATAAAACAACATCACAGAAAACAAGGATGACGACCAATACATCACGCCCAGCAAAACAGCAACAATAAGAAGAAAACATCATAACCAAAAAGAAAGATGAAGACCACTATCACCACAAATTCAATAAGACCAAGAAAATTAATAACCACAATACAGCACATATTAAATACCAAAACCAAACAAACAAACAAAAAAAGGTTTATCAAAGCATCAATGTGTCCCGCTCGCTCATATGAACTTATGCATGAGTTGCGAGCGCCGTAAAACACTTACTAAAACAAAACAAAAAATAAAAAAATAAGCATCAATTAACACCAACAACTACAACAAAATAGTATTATTAAAAAAAGCAAGGATGACGACCACTGGCACCACTATAAACTACAAGACAAACATGATCTAAAAACCACCACTATCACCAGCAACAACGACAATGAGAACAAAAAACAGCGTTTTTCTTTCGTAAGAAATTTTCAGCATTTGCAACACAAGTCCGTCATACATATTAGTGCCGAAAATGAAAAGTGTTACAAGAGAGTAACATGATACAAAGACAGAATAAAGACAACAGATCATGTTTAACAGAAAAGATGAAGCAAACCGCACTCACCAGCCACCCACAAGCAAGGAATACTACCATTATTATATGGGATGCCCATTTGCACAATCAGATCGGATCGGTTTGTTAGCCAGATTGAGGGTGCAAAGTGGCTATCGTGGCACAAGCCGATCGCCCGACTCATCGCGCGTTTGTTTTAAAGGTAACAAGTCGGTGACCGACCCAACCTGACCCGACCCGATCCCATCCGCAATGGGCACCCGGTATTAACAACCACAATATCCAAAACACCAACAGCAACCCCGCCCCTGTTGACCTCCGCTCACAATATAACCTGTAATATAATAGTAAAGCAAAATTATCCCTACATCCGATTTGGACATTGGGGATTGCCTTGTCAGTGAGAAAACTTCCTGGGCCTTCGGCCTATTGTGGTAGGGCGGCCAGTTCCTTTCCACGCCGCCTTTTCTTCCCTAACTCGAAGTCAGGTACCCATTACTGCTAGTCGGGCAGGAGGGGGTGAAAAAAAAACTGTGTCCGAACCGAGGCTCGAACCCGGACTTTCCGCTTCGGAGATGAGCGCACTAACCGCTCCGCGACCGCACCCTCCTGAATTTAGTACATTATTCACTTGTAACATATAGTGTATAAAACCTCTCAGTCTCACCTGTCCCCTATGGCGATGACGGAGAGGATGGGGTCACTGCGTGAGTTTCCGCGCATGATGCGACAACACTGGCCGGTGACCATGTTCCACACCCTCAGTCGACCGTCGGCCGAGCCCGTGATCACACGCAGGTACAGGAACTCGATACATAGCACCTCTCTGTAGGGTGGGGGTGGGGAGAGGCCACAGACGTGTGTGTGTGTGTGTGTGTGTGTGTGTGTGTGTGTGTGTGTGTGTGTGTGTGTGTGTGTGTGTGT